TCTGGTTCGTTCCGTGGCTTAGTTGGCATAGCGTCTGGCACGGTTTGCTAGAAGACGTCATTTCGAATACAGTCGGATCGTATTTTGCCTAAGTGTTCAATCTTTATATTCATAATTTGAATTGAATTGAATAAAATAAAATAAAATAAAAATAAAATAATTATAATAAACTAGTCGAGTAAACACTGGCTTTATTTCAGAATTTATTTTTTTGCAAACGAAATTAAGGCCTTTTCAAAAATGTATATCGTACGTTATGTATATGTGTTCTATTTCGTTAAAAAAGAATAAAAAAAAGTCAACCGTGACCATGGTACCTGTAAAGGGCCCGAAACGTAGGTTTGTTTGAAAAAACAAATATACGTGATTTAAATCCGGAAAAATAGTTTCATTTCCTAAGAATAAAAAAGTTATCGTCTAATATCGTTCATAAAATCTTTAAAGCACTCTCCCAAAAAGCAATTTCAAAAAACATTATTGAATATTTTGGTGAAACATCCTTACATTCAAAAAACTTAATTACATCTATACATTATTTCAATTGTGACAGTAATGTATATAAGTAAATAAATAATGTACATTATAAATCTCTGTCCCGTCTGTCCTCTGCGTTGCCGTCTGCCGGTTTGCATTGACCCTTAGAAGTAAATATAGTAACGCAGTGGGAGAACGATTGCTTTGAAATTTAGTGGCCAACGGTTCGAATACCTATGACAGCATGTACGTACAACAACATATCAACATTGACGGATCTTGTGCTGTAGTTCTTGAGGGGATATTCGAGCAAACATGTATGTCGATGTGCTGTCGACTATATATACGATTTTAATTCCTAAGCTACGTATATTTGCACATGTTTACTAGCAATGCTCTCGTTAGCTATGATAAACATATCGTGATGAAACCTGCATGCCGAAGGAGGTTCACAACCCTTGAAACACCTATGAAGTATTCTAAGGAGCCGAGGAGCCTGGAGACCCGAGCCCAGCGGTGAAATATACCCATTACTCGTTTATCGCTAAACAAACTGAACAGCACTGGATAGTTACTACTATCCACAACCACAGCGCGGGCAATCACGCTATTAAGTTTTGATACAAACTCAAATAGCAAAGTCAAAGTCAAAGTCAAAGATTATTTATTCCATAGGTAAAATAAATTTACACTTGAAATCGTCACATTTAAGCTACTGCTCGTTCACTACGCTGACCTCCCTGAGAAGAACGAGCAAGAAACTCTAGGGATTGCTCTTTTCAAATAAACTTAAATGCTATGGAGTACACTTTGAATCAAATTTGTGTGGATTCTGGAGCCGTGTCGTCTTTCCATACATCTGTATCTAACACGTAGTCTTCAATTTTGTAATATGATTTTTTGATCAAAATATTTTTAATGTAGTTTTTAAAAGTTAAAAATTATAATCCTAAGTAGGAAATGATAAACTTAATATATGCTCCGGAATCTTATTGTAAAAACGTATACAGTTCCCCATAAAAGAGTTGTTTACCTTGGTTAAACGAAATCGTGGTACCATGAGTTTGGACTTAGCTCTAAGGCTAATATTATGGATATCTTCTTTCTTATTGGCTTTGTTTGATTCCGCATAACAGTGAAAGTGTTGGATCGATCACTTTGTAAAAAATATATAATAAAATTAAGGATATACACTAATTACTATACGGAGTGAAAACACGATTCCTAAAAATTTTCTCTATTGAAAAAAAACACAAACTTACCTCGAAACTTTTCAAGAAAACCGCTGTATTCAATAGGTACACATCAAGCTACACATTGACGTATCTTGTTCCGTTGCACTGGAGGCGATTTTCGAACAATTATCTACTAAATAGAACGCGTATAACACACGATATAAATTTTTCAAGTAACTTTAATTTCGTTTGAAAAAAAAAATTAAAATAAATTATGAAATTTTGCCAGTGTACCGCTCGACCCAAGCAAAACCGTATTAGTACGGGAAAAATTTGAATTCAAACTGAAGTTGTACTCTTAATTTTTATTAAATAACAAGTTTTGGTGAAAATAGGCCGAAAATATTTCAATTCTCGTCTCGCCTTGTTTCGTCTCACCTCGCCGGTGGAAAACCACCTTAAGTGGCACTGGAACTGCGGCGTGTCGCTTACCACCAGTCGCACGATTTGTTCGACCCGTCCCTTGATATCATAAAAAAAATTGTATTGTAAACAGCATTTAGGTAACAATATTTACCTAATAACAGTAAATAAAAGAAGACGTCGACGAAGTATATTAAAATCAATTAATTTATTATGAACAATTATCAACAACGTAATTACACATAAATGCAACAATTAAATGCAAATAAATAACTAATAATCACATAGATTCAGTCACTGTTTATATTCGGTATTAAGATGAAGAATACGGTATTACCACAAATCGGTATTTTATTGAATGTGATGTTTTACTAGCGTGGTTTTTTAAATACTTCACTAATTTGTTAGATTATTCATACAAAGATTGAAGAGAAAGAAAAATTCCTTCGATATGACACCTGCGACTGGACTTAAACCTGCGTCTGTATGCCAAACTAGGGCCACCACTCTGCCAATTAAGCTACAGATCGCAGAGTTGAGACTAGACTTGCCAAATGGCCGGGAAATCCGGGATTGTCCAAGAATTTTTCGTCTTGTCCCGTGAAAGTAATTAGACTTTACTGTCCCGGATTCCAAACACTTACCCAGAAGTTGTTGTTAAAAATTTACTAGAGTCCTTTTCATAAAAGAAGTTCCCTAGATGCATTGCTGTTGTGGTCGTGGAAAGGAACGTCGAAATATTGATTGCGAAAAACATAAAATTTTTGTAGGTTCTCAATGAGTATTAAAAACTTCCAGAAGATCATAGAAAATAACGTTACGGCCTTGTTATGACCGTCAAATTAGATAGATGGCTTTCTAACTAATTAGTTCCGGCATTTAGTTTCATACATTTATTGCTACGGCCCGTCTTCCTTAGTCTAGTAGAATTGTCCCGGAACAGATAAGTCAGGATCTGGCAACCCTAGCTGAGACGCAGACTCGAATCGGAGGAATGTTTTATTATGTTCGATCTTTGTATACTTACTTAATTATACTTACCTAAACTTCAAGGAAATAATACACATAAGTGGATAGTACCACCATCTGAAATCCCAGAAATATTGTATTGTATTTTGTTCTATATTTTTTACCGACTTCAATAAAAGGACGAGGTTCTCAATTATATGTTTCTTTATATGTAATTACGCGATTACTCTGGACTTTGTGTACGGATTTTGGAATATTTTCTTCAATATTGGTCCCATTTAAATTTGAAGACAATGTCCATCTCTAAGGGTGGCAAACTAGGAGATGACTCCGGTTTCGCGCACTTTCCGTTAACCAATTTCTATAAAACTTGGCAAATAGATGTAATTCCAATAAAAAAGACGATAAGCAAACTTCTGAGGTCGGTTTGTTTTTTAAAAGCATTGACTTACAATTATATGGACATCGGGGCCGCGCTAAAAAGTGTCCGAACTTATAGGGCGTTAAAATCGTATACAGAGCGTCATTCACGCTTTAGTCTTCGTTTGTTCGACTGACAGCGAAGCAAGCAAAATTAGACAGTACTGCGATGACATTACAATTTAAATTCAACGTTTTAGCTTTTTCATATTCCTTTACATGTCACTACGTTTAAATAGGTTGACTTGGGACATTTTTTTCGTGGTTTTTGTATTAGACCCGTCGTCCATTTATTTGTAAGTCAATGTTTAAAAGTCATAAATTTGTTCTATATTTTTGATATAACTGGCAATTACTTAACTACGGTAATGTATTTAGGAGAAAAGTGTATTTGAAATCCATGTTATTAATAATGGAAGCATAATATTTTGCCACTTCTCGAAGTTAGTGAAGGTGTAAATCATGCAAAATATCTGTGCTAATATTGAATTTTTCATGTAGTTCTCCCATTATCCCTAAGCTTAAAATAATCACACAAACACTACTACCAAAAATATACTCCTGAGGATGCCTCATATAGAGGCGAAACACGTGCGAGTTCGTTCGAAACAAAAATTTAAAAAAATGTTCAGCACAAGCGCTGCTATTTTGCTCGATACAACCTTCTCTGGGTTCTCAGAGCTGCAATTAATGTCCAGTTATATTTGAAGTAATTAATTACCATTTTGGGTAGTTTTGTAATTGTAAGTAATAATTTACTCGTACATGTACCCCATTAGTTGAAGTTTGAGTAAATACACTCTGGCGATACCGATCTCTAATTATACACAACTATTTCTAGATATTGAATGTCTTGATAAAGTAATGGAAACATTTTACAGACAAACAAAAGCAACTAGATATTAGAAGTCTACGATTAGTAATCGACAAATGAAATTAAAAAAGTCGTGGTATCGAATCGAATCTGGGCTCGCACCTCTTCTCGGAATTTATGTGCGAAATTCAATTTGAAATTTACCATGAACTTTTCGATGAAGGAGAACATCGTGATAAAACCTGCACGTCGAAGAAGGTTCACAATCCTTGGAAAACGTGAGAAGTTCCCAACCGGCATTGGGCCAGCGTGGTGGACTACGGCTTAAACCCTCGCCCGAGGGAGACCCGTGCTCAGTAATGGGACGTACAAATGGGTTGATGATGATTAATCTACAAATGCGTGGTCTAGGATATCATAAAGGTTTATAACGAAATCCAATGATAACAATATAGTTGCAAGCCCTTTCAACTAACAACGGCAGTATTTTGTTTTTGTTTGGATTTCGTGTACGCATGTGACATTTTTTCAAATATTTTGTTATGTATACTGCCGTGGTCAGCAAAAATGTCCGATCTGTCATTATTTTTAATTTTTTCCCATGCGGATTAGGTATGAAGTTAACGCTAGTAAAAAGTAGATATTTTTCAATTCCATTTCTTTAAACATTATTTTCTCGGATTTAAGTTTTTGTCACAATTTCAACTAACGGCGGCAGAATAAGTAATCTTTTGATCGGAAAAGTTATTAATCTGACCAACATTTTGAAACTGTGACACCTGACAAGAAATGTAAGTAACATGATAGTCAGAGCTGATTTACGTAAAATAAACATTATAGTTAAATGTTTGAGCATTTAAAGTGTCTGGTATGTTCGAAATTTTTAAATGTCGGAATGATAGTAGCTTTTACGACCGTTTAGAAATTACAAATAGACTGTTTAGAAATGTTAAAGTTGAAGAGGCAACATTTCAACAAAATTAACCGTTTCACACACTTTTACTTTACAATTTAATATAAAAAAGAAGTTACGTCATTTACACACCTATTTTGATCAAATTTAACATTAGCAACAGCATTCATTCCTCAGATTAGATAACTCCAAATTAACAAACAAATAATTTCTGTTATCACATAATGTACCTATTTTTTTATCGATACGTAACAGTTTTTTCATTAAATCACATCACATTCTGAATACACCGAATTTACTGTCTCTAAATGGCGCATTTAATGCAGCCGATAAACTAAGTCCAATGACTCTTCTTGTATCTTTAGGAATAATAATACCGTCATCCCAAAGCCTCGCTGTGCTGTGGAAAGGATGCCCTTCGCTCTCAAATTGAGCTTCTAAAGGTCCTCTAATTTTCTTTTCATCCTCATCAGTCCAAGGTTTGTTTTCCCTTAAAACTTTCTCCTTCGCAACCAAAGACAACACAGTAGCTGCCTGAGGACCGCCCATTACAGATATTCTGGCATTGGGCCACATATAAAGGAAACTAGGCGAGTATGCTCGACCACACATTCCGTAGTTACCAGCACCGAAACTGCCTCCAACGATGACTGTGATTTTTGGGCCCTTGAAACAACTCACTGCTGTCACCATCTTGGCTCCGTTTTTGGCAATACCACCAGCTTCTGCGTCTCTGCCAACCATGAAACCAGTAATGTTTTGAAGGAATAACAGAGGAATTTTTCTAGAAGCACATAGTTGAATGAAATGAGATCCTTTTAACGCCGATTCTGAATGTAATACACCATTATTACCTATTATACCTACTGGGTGACCGTATAAAGTAGAAAATCCGCATACCAAAGTCTCTCCGTAAAGCTGTTTGAATTCATGGAAACGACTTCCATCTACGACTCTAGCTATTACTTCTCGTATGTCAAAAGGTCTTTGAATATTTGCTCCAACTATACCATGCAGATCATCAATATTATGTACTGGCTCTTCAACAATAGGAGCATAAATTCTAGTCCTCTGTTCGTTATTCCAGTTCAAATTAGCGACGGCATTCCTAGCGAGATGTAGAGCGTGTTCGTCGTCTTGCGCATAATGGTCGGTAACTCCAGATTGTCGGCAATGTAAATCTGCTCCACCTAAATTTTCTGCGGTCACCGATTCACCTGTAGCTGCTTTTACTAAAGGGGGTCCAGCCAAGAAAATCGTTCCTTGGTTTTTGATAATAATGCTCTCGTCTGACATACTAGGAATATATGCACCACCTGCCGTACAAGACCCCATAACAACCGATATTTGAGGTATGCCTTCCGCGGACATGTTAGCTTGATTGTAGAATATTCTACCAAAGTGTTCTTTATCAGGGAACACATCAGCTTGGTCAGGCAAGTGGGCGCCACCCGAGTCTACCAGATAAATACAAGGCAAACGGCATTCCTGAGCGATCGCTTGAGCTCTAAGATGTTTCTTAACTGTTATAGGAAAATAGGTTCCTCCTTTGACAGTGGCATCGTTGGCGACTATCATGCAATCGCGACCGTGAACTTTGCCGATAGCTGTGACGATGCCGGCGCTCGGCACTTGCCCCTTATACATTCCGGTGGCAGCCAAAGTGCTCAGTTCCAAAACGTCGCTGCCTTCGTCCACCAACCGGTTAATCCTGTCCCTCACGAGCAGTTTTCCTCTCGCCGTGTGCCTCTTTACTGCATCTTCTGGGCCACCTTTAATTGTTTCACTTGTTTTCAATCGGAGCTCATTAATCAACTCGTCCATTTTTATTCTATTTTCTTGGTAGTAGGGGTCACTTTTGTTCGGCTCTGTACCTATAACAGTAGCGTGGCTGTTATACCGGCACTGAACGCTTAATCTCCGCACACCCCTTACTAATTTGAACATTTTGGTACTCGTATGTAAATTACAGATGTAAAAACACGACCGGTCGGCGACTCGCTGCCGCGCTACTGACTATAGCGTTACCGTTATCAAGTCGTACAAAAACAAATTCTTGAAGCGAGTCGGAACCTCGTTGATAAAAACACGCATAATGTATGAAATGATAATGCGGGCCCATTGTCACGATTGTTACCGAGCATTGATGTCATATTTTACGTTGGCTGGTTATTATTGGCGCATTTCTATTCCGGGCACATAGCGCTTTACATAATACCACGAAATAAATGATAGTAAACACATTGAGGACACGGTTCTTAACTTTAATGCTTACTTTGAATGGACATTCAATCATTCTGACTTGACACGGCCTACATTACTTCGATTTAGATACACTTTACAATAAATGAACCTTGAATTGGTATTACGGATTTGTTTCGAACCGTATTTTTAGCCAACAGTCCTTTTACCAACACATACCTAGGCACTTAGGTAACAAAAGCACATTCCTTTTCAATATAACTACCGTACTTGAACGAATACTACATTCTTAAAGCGCTGCTCCAACAAAAAAACCTTCAACTCACTATCAAGCGAATCTCTCGTTCTAATAAACGGTTCTAATTCGCGGGAGGCCGGCGCGCGCGCACTTGAGGTGAACGACACCCGTTTCACTTTCCATGGCGACCCACCGCAAGGTGGCGACACTCTCCTTCCTACAGGTGTTACTGTACCAGCAACAAATTATATTTGCAGGTGGACAAGGCACAGTTGACAATAGCACTTAGCTTAGAATTCTTAACTTTCGGCCTACAAGATATTTACTACAACCACTTGATGGTATTAGTAATTACAACTATATCAATAGGATTATTAAGCATTAGAAGTAAATAAAATGTAATTACAAGCTATTGTAAGATACTAGCGTACATAACTAAGTACCTCTATCAAGTGAATATCCAAGGAAAAGAGACCATCTTGGAATTGTAGCAAGTAGAAAACCATAATCTCGAAATACTTCACTCTATCTAGCCCGGAATAAGATCTGTCTAGGGAAAAAATACTATTTTGGAAATAAAGATTTAGTACGTTCCATACTACATCAGCTGTTCCTGATTTGTGTTAGAAGTCATGAAATATCCTATCAACAACATATCAGTATATATTTATCTTCTTTTGCCACCAGCCTTAAATTACTATTTTAAAAAATAGGTACCTATGTTATTCCGAGCTAGATAGAGTGAAGTATTTCGAGATTATGGTTTTCTATTTGCTACAATACTTCACTCTATCTAGCCCGGAATAAGATAGGTATCTAACTATTTTGTCTGTTCCATGCTTCATCAGCTGTTCCTGATTTGTATTACAAGTCATGAAAATATTATATTATCAACATATCATTAGGTATATATCTATCTTTTTTTGCCTTTATGCCACCAGCCTTAAATAAATATTTGAAAAAAATCGTTTTTAAAATAGTCCGAAACCGTACATAATATCAGGAATTTTCCTATTATACTATCGTATAATGACGTCATTGTGACATCATCACCTTATTACTACGTTGGTTACTAGCCCAGCTAAGACAGCAGACGCGGACGCGGACGTTATAGATATACATCTGCTTTTCTTTCTAATAATAATCATAGTTTGTATTCAAAGACATAATAGGTACCGTTTGAAGTTTTGATTGCAACGTCTTTTATGGACTTAACAATATATACCTATAATCATATAAAAGTTGTTTTTCACTATATGATCGATGCCTCGTTAAATTTACGAGTGACAGACTTCCTCACTTCGCAGCATTATTGTTGATGGATCATTACAAACAAATGGTTAGAAAGTGGTGTAACCATTTATGTGTTATTAGAGTTTATGTAAGTTTGTTGCTTCGTTTGCAATCTGAATGAAATTGGTAAAAGTGAGAAGAAGTATCTCAAGCCTGATACCTTTGTCATTTTTTACTTTGATGTTCATTAATAGAATATAGTAGACGTGTAAATAGCGCATTAAATAAAGGAAACAATGCAAACTGAAGCACGTAAGCATTGACTTACAAATAAATGGACGACGACGGGTCTAATACAAAAACCACGAAAAAAATGTCCCAAGTCAACCTATTTAAACGTAGTGACATTTAAAGGAATATGAAAAAGCTAAAACGTTGAATTTAAATTGTAATGTCATCGCAGTACTGTCTAATTTTGCTTGTTTCACTGTCAGAAGAAACAAACAAAGACTAAAGCGTGAATGACGCTGTGTATACGATTTTAACGCCCTATACATAAGTTCGGACATTTTTTAGCGCGGACTCGACGTCCATATAATTGTAAGTCAATGCACGTAAGCCATAATTTTTTTAGAATTTGTCAACTTATATCTCAGGATGACGGGCGCAGTGGCAGTGCCCATCAGAACTCTGCGATTTAGTAGCAGTAGAGCTCCTTGTGAAAAGGTTCGTCTAGGGAATTTCCATTTCTGCTGCCAAGCAGCAGCATTACTGTGTTTCTATTTTGAAGGGTAAGGGTGCTGTGACATTACAGGCACATGGGACTTGTCAACTTATGTCTCAGGGTGTCGGGCGCATTGGCAGCCCCTCAGATCTTTGAGATTTAAAGCTCTGTGTGGCACTGCAACTGTCATGGATAGACGTGTAGCTTACCATCAGGTGCACGACTTGTTCGTTCCGTCACTTGATATTATAAAAAAATTTAGTATTTAATGTTTCGACACTAAAGGCGCAATATGTACATTATTCCACCACTACCAAATCTCTCGCGCATTTGAAATTGCAGTGCTGTTGCGTGCTAACTTAATCATTTTATATCAAGAATCAAAAATAAAAAATCTGACATTACAACCAGGCGCCGTGAAAGAATGCAAAAAAACCTAACTTTTTTTATTGCAAGCGCAACTTACAACGTCAAATTATTTAATATCAATTTTGTAATTCAAACTTTTAATTAGGCATTTTTCACACTCCAAATAGCAAAATAGTTTTTGTTAGTTTCGTCATCGCTCACCAAATTTCTATTTAGATTTCATTCACGCGACAAACTACTATTAAAATATTAAAAAAGAGCCAAGGTTCTCGTGTGCTTTCGTTATTTCACTTAACATTGAATTTGATATTTATTGCCATTTTCATTACAACCACTTCGCTACTGGACGTAAACCTTTGAGCAAAGCAGAGATTGCACGATCTTCTGGCTTAACCAGGTAATTAAATATAATACAACCGACACTTACCTACATTGTAATGGCACCCTCTCTATCAGTGCAGAATCCACATTATCGTACTTAGGGATAGCTAGTACTTACACACAGATACAGGAGGCATAAGGACTTATGCTCCCTGTTAGTGCAAAATTTTCGCGATTTAAAGCTCTGAGTGCTCTCAATTTTTATTGACAGGCGTGTCGCTTACCACCAGGCGCATGATTTGTTAAATGAAGTGTGAAAAAAAACCTTCCTATCTTAGATACCTATGTAGGTCCGTATGGATAACCAGTACAATCATACATACATTGGACGTTTAAGAACTTATGTTCTCTGTCAGTTCAGAATCTATCTATGGAATCTCCCTATCGTACATAGGGATAACTAATATCCTTCCTATCTATTTGTACGCAAAACAGCACCACTGTGTACAAGACTAAAAGGTAGAGATGGTTGAAACAAACATACAGGAACCGGAGGCTTAAGAAGTTTGCCTAACGGCCGGCAATACTTTTCCGGTGTTAAATATGCTTCCAATGTAGTGAACCATTATCACTATCCATCAAGTGTACTGCCTGTCATTTTTCCGGTATAACACCATAAAAAAGAAAATGTACAGACACAGGCTGCTGTCGTTTTCTTTATAATAATTTATTGTCATTTTCTATGACACTTGCCTACTTCGTATTTATTATCAGTAACTTGTTCTAAACGCAACTAAATAACGGACTCATTTTATAATTAGTTACAAACTACTAGCAGTACGTTACGAAACGCGTTCCAATCAGATATTAGCATACTTGCTTTAGATTCTTTAATAAAATGACTAATTAAAATGCATTGCTGGAGCCAGAAATCAGTCTCAAACTAGTAGATAGGCAATTATTATCGAGACCCGAATTGCTTTCTAAAAGCCTGTCAATGGTTAAAACATTTAAGACTAATTGTGCGATACCATTTAGCAAGTTAATTTTTAATTTATGTTGTGTCTGTGTATGTGAATTTTTATAAGGAAACGCACCCTCGGTGTAATAAGAACACATCTGTAAAATAACAACTTTGTAGGAGAGCGGTTTATGCTCAGGCCGCCGCGCATTTCAGTGTGTCAGGGTTCATACTCGTATAAAGTCGTACATTACAAAAATTCCCGCGCCCGGAACACTTCCGCGGCCGCCTCTGTGTGGCCAAAGCATCAAAGATTCTATGAATGAATAGTAGGTATATGCATATTTTTATGAAATATTCATAAAAAACATTTATCTCTTTGTGATACACAGGTTATAAAGGCGTTACAAATTTTGAATCACTGTGAACCATAACAATATATAACCATGCTACAATTAACCGCAACCTAATGCGAATAAAACATAATAACAATAATAAAATATAACAAATAAGTTTTAATTAGTTTGTCTAATTTAAAAAATATAGAACGACATTTAAAAATATTTATATGTAAACACTAAATATTATAAATATTTATGGATATTTAAGTGGATATACATACGTAATAAGTATACATTTATTTGACTTGACCTTGACTATAGCAATATTTCAATAGTTACGCTTTGAGGGACACCCTAGTGTTGCATCATAACGTGGCGTACACTAACCATGTAACACAATTTTTGTTTTTGTGTTATTAATCACATTTTCTAATTGGTTCTAATGTAAAATCATGAATGAATAATATATTTTTATTGAGGGACTAAAACAAGCCGATACACACCCGAGGAAGTTAGACAGGGTGTCTATTACTCTGAGGGCTTAGAATAATAACGCATAGAATGATAGTTTCATATCAAACGAACTGTCACAAGTGAGGCAAAAACCAAATTCATGTAGGCGTAAGCAACTTGTAACTACGCTCGTCGGCACGCACACAAATATACAAATAATGATGCCATGGAATAACATTTCCCTCAAAAGTGGGGAAATTGTATCTTGCTTAACTCATCATTAAGTTAAAGGTGCCTACAGATTTGCCCGACATTGTCGATCAGGTGCCTACAGATGTGCTCGGTTTTGTCGATGAAAAACGAATATAGCACTTATTTGTAAATCCAAGATGGCGGACACGATTTTTCTAAATATGCTATATGGGTATCCTTTTCGAGGTATTTGGGGATGCTCATTACGAATATGGCACTCATTTC